AAACGATAGCTTTCCTGCTCCTCTGATGCTGCTTGGCCTGCTGTGTTCATCCAGCTCTACACCCTGTTATCTTAGACCAAGCATCAACTGTTATTGAAAAACTAAGAAATCAAAAATTCTGGTTCTGTGGGAGCTTGACCCCACCCATTCAGGCTGCTTCTATTGTTCAAACTTTAAAGAAAATTCCAAGGCCTCATAAGCTGTTTACTTCAAGACTTTTCAATAGACATCTCAGGACCTCTGCCTTAAAATGTCTCCTTAAAAAAAAGGACAAAATGGACCTCTTAAAGCCACAGTATCATCACACTGATCCCGCACACCCTGAAGTGTTTGATCAGGCAATCGAGATCAAATCCTGGGAGTACAACAAGAAAGACCTTGCATTCATATAGCAATTTCCACAATATTCGGAAGATGCAATTTCTAGCCTGCAGTACACTTGGCGTGCAGTCATTGTCAGAGATAGGAATCACTGCAACCAATTTGTTGACAGGAGGGTAATTCAAGGAGCTCAGTGAATATTAGAGGACAATCTGTTTAAATGTAATGTTCCTCAATGTAACACTGAAGTGTCAATGTAGAAGCTGTGCTCAACTCTCTAGAGTGGAACTTAAAGCCATAAATTGCCTCAGTGGAAATCACACTCCCAGTGCACCATTCAATAAGAAAAAGTACTGCAGTTGCCGGAAATATGCAATAAAAAGACAAACTGCTGGAGAAATTCAGCCAGTCTGGTAGCGTCTGTGGAGAGAGAAAAACACAGCTAATGTTTTGATTCTGGTGTGATTACTTCAGAAAAGACACTGCAATGTTAACTCTGTCTCGCTCTTTCTCTGTCTCTGTGATGATGCTGCCAGACCTGATGAGTTTCTCTCTCGCTACACTGACCGCATGGTTCTTGCTGGTCAGGAAACCCTCACTGTTCTTACTAGCTGCAAGGAGGCATTACAAACTGATCATTTGATGCCTTTGGCCTCTCTTACAACACCCATGGGACTGGTAAACTGAAAGCCTGTTCAAGAGAAGTCCACTGTACTCACTGTCAGACAGACTGGAGCTCTACTGGAGCTTCTTAAATAGCAGGGCACCCAGAAATATGGACATAACATTAGCTTGGCATTGAATATCGAGCTTTAACTTCTACACTGTTAGCATAGTCCCACAAAATTAATAGACTTACCTAATTCCATCATCTTACCTGCCCCTTCCACCCTAAACCATCCCCATCCAATAGTATTCTGTCCTTCCCAAACCATACCATCTATGATGAACTTTGACACAAACGCAGTACAGTATCAAAATTTGGTAATATCTTTCAAAGGTTGGTGGATTCTGTATTTGGTTTTAGAAAATGACTTCTAAGAATGTGTGCCAATGGTAAAGGGATCAATTGGAATTTTCACCAATAAGAGTGAATATTGGACCATGTGATCTGATGGCTCTTAACCTGGAAGCAATACCAACAGGAAGTTAACACATAAAAGCTGTGAGACCAGGCCCAAAGGAAAGCAGTTCTTAAGGAGGTTTTACAGCTGTGTGCCCGCGAGGTGATGACTGTTTCTGGGGTGTTTTGGATGGAATAAAGCTTCAGATGAAGACAATTCATGGACAAATCTAAATCTAAATCTAAAATCCACTGAGTGGGAAAGTAAGAGATCGTACCTAACTTTAGAAAACTCTGGAACCATATGAGCTGCCATTTGTCTGGAGTGAGTGATGGGTGCGCATATGGTTATGTAGGACATTTACTCATTGACTGTAAAAGTATGAAACTATGAAAAGTATACTGTAGTCTTTGTTTGAAGCAGATTTTGTCAGTTAATTCATATTCTGATTTGTGAAGAATGACATTTTGTTGATAATTCTTGCGGGGGACGGGTGCTTGGCAAATTCAATCTTTTGTGTTCATTGTTCCCTCACACTCAAACCACAAATCACCAAACTTTAATCAAACAAAGGATCCAAGTCTGGGATCTTTCAGTCCTGTACAACACTGCTATGATATTCAGTGCCTCAGAAACTTTTAAAATGATCATCTGGCTGAAAACTAAATATTATGACATTGCCCAATACAGCTATAAGAAGCAGCTTTAAAGTGGTTTTCTGAATCGGTTTGTCCTAGAGACTGGGCTTTGTGCAGAAAGCACTGAGGATGCTCCCTTCAATGGGCAGAAACCAGGCTGCTGCTTTAACGCGGCCAGTGTGTTCCTGCAAGACAATCCTCAGGACAGGAAATGGGAATCCAAGGCCTAGCGAATGGCCTTTTTAATTCCTCATTCATCCCTAAAAATAAGTGAAGATTTGAATGTATGCACTAAAGATTCTGCATTGCTGACGAGCTGAATTTAAATTAATTAAACTCCTTAGGAATAGCTCCCCTTTGCACCTGGTCACATAGCTTTTATATGTTAACTTCCGGTTACTACTGCTTCCAGGTTAAGGGCCATCAGACCATGTAGTCCAATATTCCTTCTATTTAGTGAAAACTTCAATTGATCCCTTTACACAAATCCTTAAAAGTCATTTTCTAAAATGAAACGCAGAGTCCACAAATCTTTTAAAGATATCACCAAATTTTCATACATATTACGTTTGTGTCAAAGTTCATTACAGATAGTATGACTTGGGAAATATGGAATAACATCAGTTAAATACCATTACTCAAAGCTGAGTAAATGTCTGGGCATCAATTGGACTGGGCAGGTTAATAAGCAAAAGCAAGATAAACAAGGAGAGGTTTCATCTATCGGGAAGTCAGGCTTGGTGACAGAGCCTAACCCAAAAAGCTGAATTGCTCTCTTACTTTCTCCAGCCATAAGTGAACCTGCTGAATATCTGCAGTGTTTTTCATGCAGATTCCCAGAACTTGTACTTGTATCTTTGAAGCCGTTACTGATAGGAACAGAAAGAGGCTGACTAAGACCTGAAAATTCAACACATCACTGAGAGATAGCAGACCCAGCAACAAAGTGTCCAGTCCCAGCTGGGAACTTGGACAAGACAGAAAGCCCTGACTAGACTCACCCCAGCATTTACACTGTCCCAACTGCACTCAGCTAAAAGCCTGCATTCCTTACACTGTGGGACTCACTATAAGGCAGGCTGATGTTTCTTAAACTCAGACAGCAAATAACTCAAATTCTAGCTGTTCAGGCTCAACTCACAATTCGCCAGTAAAACAACTCAGATTTCTTCAGCATTGGGGCAAATCGTTTCACACCTATAATTCAACAATCCAACTCAACAGCACAAGTGTATAAATATACTTACCACACTGCCTCACCCTTTGTCTAGGAGGCAATAGTTTCAAGTTGTGTCCAATATCCAAGTCTCACAGCTTCTCCGTCTCACACAGTATCCCAATCTCACGGTGTCACACTCTCACAGTATGCCAGTCTCACACAGTATCCCTGTCTCTCACAGTTTCTCAGCCTGACACAATATCCCAGTCTCTCACAGTATCCCTGTCACACACAGTATCGCAGTCTCCCACAGTATCTCAGTCTCACACAGTATCTCAGTCTCACACAGTATCCCTGTCTCAAAGTATCCTAGTTTCCTGAAGCGTCCAGCATCCAGTCCAACATGATTTAACAGTGTCCAATGTACAGTCTTATGCCCACTGTCCATATTCATACTGTGTCAAGGATTGTGATCGAATCTCGATGTCAGTCAGACTGCCCAGTGTCAGCCAGTGTCAGGGTCAAAGAATTGCTGTGATGAAGCCGAAGACCATTTGATCCATTGTCTGTGCAGTATCTAACTGTGAACATTTTAACGTTCCCATTTCCCGACCTTCCCCCAAACCCTGCACACTGTTTCTTCTGGATTCTGGAGCCAGTCAGTATCCAGCATCAGGCACACTGAATCCTGGATCGATCACATGCACTTTATACTGGCGATAGCTGTATGTACAGGAGAAAAGTTACCAGCAGTTTGCTTGAGTTGCGTTCAGCGGCGAGTCCACGATTGTCGCAATTTTCGGAGTTTGGAGTTCCCTCGCCTCGGAGAGCCTTAGCACGGACATGCACCAGGGCAGTTCCCAGTTTGGTGACACCCCGCTAGCTGGCTATTTAATTGTGGTCCCAAAACAAGAACACATCACAGTGCGAAACACACAGACAACGAGCTGGAGCTGGGAAACTCTCATCCATACAAGGCAACACTGTTAATACCGTAATACACCCAGCAGCAAGGCTTGGAGGAGTGTGTAATATATATAATAGGGGGCACACTGTAATACCGTAATACATCCAGGAGCAGGGCTTGGGGGAATGTGTAATACATATAATAGAGGGGCACACTGTAATACCACAATACACCCAGAAGCAGGGCTGGGGGACAGTGTAATACATTTAATAGAGGGGCACACTGTAATATCGTAATACACAACAGGAGCAGAGGCTTAGGAGAGTGTAATACATGTAATAGAGGGGCACACTGTAATACCTAATACACACAGGAGCAGGGCTTGGAAGAAAGTGTTATACACGTGATAGAGGAGCACTCTAATACCATATTACACCCAGGAGCAGAGCTGGGGGAAGGTGTAATACAATTAATAGAGCGGCACACTGTAATACCATAACACACCCAGGATGAGGGCTTGGGTAGAGTGTAATACAATTAATAGAGGGGCACACTGTAATACCATAATACACGCAGGAGCAGGGCTGGGGGAAAGTGTAATACATTAATAGAGGGCCACACTGTAATATCATAATACACCCAGGATGACGGTTGGGGAGAGTGTAGTACATTTAATTGTTGGGGGGGGAACTATAATACCGTAATACACCTAGGATCAGGGATCGGCCGAGTGTAGCATCCCTAATACAGGTGGACTGAAATGCAATGTTACATCCAAGTACAGAGATAGGACAGGGTGTAATATATCTAATAGAGATGCACTGAAGAGCTGGATGGTGCAGAGTCTTTTTGATCTGTACATCCTTTACTTGCTGTGATCTGCCTGTACCGCTCGTAAACAAAGCTTTTCACTGTATTTTGGTACATGTGACAATACATCAATCAATCAATGAAATGGAAGTGAGTATCTAAAGTGTGTGGTGTTAATAGTCAATAATTTTGCTTCAGTTTTCACTGTGGATGACATCTTAATTGTAATGGGTAATGCAGAGTTTGCAGAACAGGAGAAACCTAGAACCCTCATTATCACTAGGGAAAAAGTACTGAGCAAACAACTGCGATTAAAGACAGACAGGTTCCTAGGGCCTGATGGCCTACATCCTGGAATCTCAAAGGAAGTGACAGCAGAGAGAGTGGACTTATGAGTTGTAATATTCCAAAGTTCTCTAGTTACAGGGAAGCTTCCAGTGGGGTGGGAAAATTTTAAAGTAATACCTTTACTCAAAAAGGCAGGCAGGCAGAAAAAGAAACTAAAGTGCAGTTAGTTTAACATCTGTCATTGGGAAATTGTTAGAATCCATTAGTAAGGAAGTAATAACAGGACATTTGGAAAATCAAATGCAATCGAACATAGTCAGTGTGGTTTTATGAAGGAGAGTTATGTGGTTTCATGTGTTTGATTAATTTGCTAGAGTTCTTCAAAGATGTAACAAGCAAAGTGGATAATGGGGATCCTATAGATGTAGTATATCTGGACCTCCAGAAGGCATTGGATAAGGTAAAAACCTTTCAGCTCAGTAAGCCTCCTGCTGCAGAAGCTGCCCTGTTATTTCAGGTATCCAGCACACACACTGGTTCTCTTTTGAATTTGTTTTCACTTGATGAAACCAATTTCAATCTGATGGTATGGCACCTGATAACATCATGACTGAGTGACATTGGCACGTGTCAAGAGGATAAGGGTTGCCAGTGTTCCATCATGCTCTTCTATCCCTGACATTTCCTTGGCTTGGCACCAGCCATAGCTAGTGAGTCCCAGGTCTGATTACTGATGGTCAGGGCCTTTACTGTTAGATGGTCACTGTTACAGGCATCAGAGGAGGTGAACCTCAGGCTCCCTCCCATCGTCTAACTCTTGCCACCTTGCTGCTCTCCCCTCGGCGATATTTGCGCTTTGCAAACCATGGCCTCTCAGTCATTGGTGTTTTAAATCACTCCACCATTGGAGGCTATGCTTCAGCTGCCTAGGCCCAAAGATCTGGAATCCCATCCCTAAACATCTCCACCTCTTTACCTCTCTCTCTCATCTTTCAACGTTCTCCATAAAACCTGAACAAGGGTTTGGTTATCTGCCACCATATTGTGTTTTTTTTAATGTAAAAGACACAATATAGATACAACAGAAAGCAGAGAGGTGGGATAAATTGGGACACAGGATTTGGTTTCAATCTATATGAATGGTTTGGATGCATGGATGGAAGATACTGTAATCAAATATTTTGATGTCACTAAAATAGTTGGGACTGTAAGTTGCAATGTAGAAATAAAAAAATTCCAGGTGGATATGGATAGGTTGGGTGAATGGACTAAAAAAATGGCAGATGAAGTGCAACATGGATAAATGTGTGTTTATCCATTTTGGTTGGAAGAACCAATGTAGGCCCATTGTAGAAATTTTGATTTGATTTATTGTCACATGTATTTATAACAAGTACAGTGACAAGTGTTGTTTGGTGTCCCCAGTCTCTGGCGCCATTTTGAAACATAGAAAATAGACCAAAACACTGAATATAGAGCCAGAAAATGAAACAACAAGTTCATCTTGTGGTTCTTTCATTATAAAGTTAGCAGGTCTATGAAACAGCTCCTGCTTCCAGTTCAGCCGTGGGCCTGGATCCAGGCACCTCCACCCCAGTGCCTCAAGTTTCTGCTGCTAAACCGACGACACTGCTGTAACCACGCCACTGTCGCTGGAACAAAGAGTTTCCACTCTCCGGTGCTATCTCACCACCACCATTGCCACTGCCACCATGAGTTCATGCTGGGCCAACCTCACCGGTGCTGCAGGGTCCTGCATTGGCACCAAACTCACCACCGTTGCCACCTCCGTCAGCAGGCACCGGGGCCTAGCTGCAGGCCTGGAATCTCGGCTTAGCCTGCCAGTCTGGACCGGGGGATTAAGACTAGTACCTGCCCTTCGCTCGCCAGGAGACCTCAGGCTGGGGTGGAGTTGCATCTACCTCATCTTGGTTTTGCTGCCGCTGCCGCTGCCGCCAGACTCCTCCCCTCAACATTCACTCGGCCTCATTGCTCCCTGGGCCTATGCCGCCATCTTTGTCCGCTGTTCCTCACGGGGCCCTCTTTCACCAATGCCGCTGCAACCAAGGTGAAAAGGTAAGAAAAATTACCTGAAATAAAAAGTAGAAGTAAGAAGAAAAAGAGAAATGATAAAGGAAAATATAGCAGATGGAAGTGGAAAAGCCCCAGGCTCAGTAGCCTGTACGTAGCTGCCAAGTTTGAAAAATGACCTCTTCATGACTAAAACAAATCTGAACAATTGATTTGAAAATAAGACATTGTATATTCCATTGTGAAAATAGGAACCTCTTCATGTGTTTAGAATTTTACAAATAAATCCTGAGTGAATAGTTATATCTCTAAGGCCAAGAAATGTCCCTGATATGGTCTCAATGAGATGCAGGTTGCCAACTGGACACAAAGCATTTCTGATCCTATTCAACAGCTGATGATCCCACTAAATGTTTGCACATTGCTTGATGACACTCTTCCAGAGATTAATTGGCCTTCTCATACTCACTGAGGAAACTCACATGAAGGAAACTATTTAGTAGGACCTTGGGAGTTGACTGTAGTCAGTGGAGGCCAATCCGACATCAGGGATTTAACATGCTGAGGAAGAAAGAAAGAAGGGATATATCAGCTGGGTACAAACCTTGCTGTATTGGCAAAAGCACTAAAAGTATTGATCTCCCCAAAAGTAATGAGTGATCATTTTTAACAATGTAAGTTATTGTACACTAGAATGCACTGCTTAAATGAGTGGTTGCAACATGTCAATGTTGACTTTCACAAGGTAACTTACTGTACACTTGAAAAGGAAATAATTCCAACCATCACTAGCTGCTGAAGCAGTTCTCCCCTATGTGTTGTAAAACCTGAGCAACATCCAAATTCAGGCTGACACGTTACAAGCAACGTTTGTGCTACACAAGTGCTAGGCAATGGCCATCTCTAACAAGAGAGAATCTAACTATCATCCCCTTGATATTCAATGGCGTTACCATCACTGAATGCCCCACTATCAACATCCTGGCGGTTACCATTGACCAGAAACTGAACTGAACTAGCTATAAACATATTGTGGCTACAAGGCTAGGAATTCTGAGGTGACAAACTTATCCCCCTTTCACCCTCACTCCTGTCTTCCCAAATCCTGTTCACCACCTGCAAAGTACATGTTAGGAATACGATGGAATATTTCCCACTTGCCTGGATTGGTGCAGTTCCGAAAATACTTAAGAAGCTCAACACCATCCAGATCAAAGCAGCCCACTTAATTGGCAACACATCTACAAACATCTACTCCATCCACCATTGACATTCAGTAACAGCAGTATGTACAATCTACAAGACACACTGCAGTAATTCACCAAGGCTCCTAAGACAGCACCTTCTAAACCTGTGGCCTCTACCTTCCAGAAGGTACAATGAAACACCACAACCCACAGTTCTGCGCCAAGCCACATACCACCCTATCTTGAAGCTATGTTTCTGTACCTTAACTATTGCTGGTTAAAATCCTGGACCTCCCTCTAACAGACTGTGGGTACATATGCACCACACAGACTGTAGTGGTTTAAGAAAGCAGTTCACCTGGACCTTCTCAAAGGCAACTTGGAATTGTCAATAAATGTTGGCCCAGCAAGCGATTCTCACATTTCATGAAAATCATTTCACTTAAATCTTCGGAGGTATTGGTAAACTGCAATAGAAAAGGACCGTCTTTTCAAGTATGATTGGAAGGGGGAGAGTGATCTTCTGTGTGCTCTAAGGTTTGATAACTCTAATCATCAGCTATCCAGGAATTCGTACTTAAATGCTTGAAGAGATGGGTGAAGAATTTTGTTTGTGTAGTTCCAGTACTAACCAGGTCTAGGCAGTATAACAAGCCACTACACTAGAGAGCTGTATTTGGTAGGCCACTACATACTGATAGAAAGAGGGGAGTGTTCATAATAAGGAACAGCAGCTTCAGAGATGGTGGATGTAGAGACACCACAGCCCGGCTTACTACAGACTGACATCTCAATGTAGAGTATTGGCAG